ATTTTTATTCAGGTTCATAACAAATTACAGATGAAAGAACACATGCACTTTATTGTGGTACGTATCGTAATCCATGAATCATCATTGCAATAAAATTGCAATACGAGACTCCCATCAATAACTATCACTATGTATGGGATTTGTATGCCCCAGGGAATGTAGTGGGATGGCTTAAGCTAGTAAGTACCACGCGTAATTAGTCACGTTCAAAGTGATCATGATGTTTTATTGTATATATTGCAGCAATACTAGCTACAGGTCTGTGCGCTGACCAGTTCAATCATCATTATATGACAACTATTTGTGTTCGATTTGCTCAGATTACCTTTCCGATTGAGATCCGAGCAATATATCCCAAGGGCAAAATATAAACATTGGGGAATAATAATCTGTAATGAAATATCTTGTTTCTATAATATTGATTTGACTGTTTAGCACTGAAATTCGAACACCAGGCTCATAATGAAATGTCGAATATCAAAAGGTGATGCGGTCCGAATCGAAAACGACATTCTACTCAAATCATGAACATATATATAATTTCAATACATAACATCCGAAGACACAGATTCAATTGGTCGTAAACGGTGAAATAGCGGTGAAACATATATGACTGGATGACTGAAAATCAGTGATGACACCAGGTGTTCGTGTCCCGTGTTCATAGTCCATGTCCGGCACTATCGGAAGCCCCCACTCACAAAATGTGTATAAAAACTATGTGCCTGACACCGTACGGCAGTCCTACTGCCATGCGACAGCGGCCTGTCAACAAACCAGACCATCAGGTGATGTTCTGTGTGAATCTGACTGCCTGACCACCCGGGTGGCCAATGCATGTCTGTATGGCTACTCATCAACCTGCTATGAACATTTCTGTGTGTCTAAGTGCATGCCTCCCATGTTATATTGATCGGTCTGTCAATGGCAATGAAAGTTATGACAGTTGACTTACACCGTCAAGATGCGATAACTACACTGAAATAATAGCGACAAAACTATTTCCATATTCATCAGTAGTCTGTGCTGAAGCAGAGTCGACTATTCTGACTCCGACTGACTTTGTACACCTGTCTGTGTACATCTGTCTGACAACCTGTCTACCTATTTCAGACTTACACCATCAAGATGTATTAACTGAGATACGCACACTGAATAATAACGACTAAACTATTTCCACAGAAAGCAGAGTCCGTTGTACGATCCCGACTATATCATTAGCATCTGTTTATGAATCACACGATCACATAGTGATGCTACTAGGGTTTCGTGAAAAGGTGAGGGTATCCTGCCCCACCGGTGTCGCCGGCCACAAACACATGCAAAGGCAGGTCAATTGTTCACCTAAAAACAACACGGGAACATATGGTACATAAGTTATACTAAAGAATTGCATCGGACATATTTTTGTCAATGATGCATTAAATTTGGAAATGTCCTCCACACTTCTACATTAAAACGGTTTGAAAGTTTTACTGAGGCGTTAAATGTTGTAACCTTGACCAAACAACTTCTGAGCAAGAGTCGTATGACGCGCTCAAATCCTGGATGAAAGCACATACGCACATACATAGACACTCACTCACACGCACATACACAGGCACACCTAGTCACTCACATACACAGGCACACCTAGTCACTCACTCACACGCACATACACAGGCACACTCACTCACAGACACACCTAGTCACTCACATACACGCACACATAGACACTCACTCACACGCACATACACAGGCACACTCACTCACAGACACACCTAGTCACTCACATACACGCACACATAGACACTCACTCACACGCACACATAGACACTCACTCACACGCACATACACAGGCACACTCACTCACAGACACACCTAGTCACTCACATACACGCACACATAGACACTCACATACACGCACACATAGACACTCACTCACACGCACATACACAGGCACACTCACTCACAGACACACCTAGTCACTCACACGCACACATAGACACTCACTCACACGCACACCTAGTCACTCACACGCACACAAAGACACTCACTCACATTCACGCACACAGGCACACTCACTTACAGACCCTCCTAGTCACTCACATACACGCACACATAGACACTCACTCACACGCACATACACAGACACACCTAGTCACTCACACGCACATACACAGGCACACTCATACACAGACACACCTAGTCACTCACATACACGCACACAAGCACACACAAATACACTCACAGAAACTCCCACACACATATGCACACACATATGCGCAATCACAAACAGGCAAGCACATACACGCACACACGCACACACGCACACACCCTCACACACATACGCACACACGCATACACACAGAGGTACACACCGACAAGCACACGCCCGAACACACACGCACACACACGCGCGCACAAACACATACGCGCGAACATACACATGCACGCATACTCTACACACACGCACGAACACACACACAAATGCACACACACACACACACAAACACGCACGCACAGTGTGGAAACTAACTAAACACAAATGCAAATCTTTGGAAAGTTCATCGAGTCCGCATTCAGCTCAGTTAAATAACACCGCTACAGTTTAATTCCTCAGGATAATAAATTCACTTATGAGCTGTGTGCCCCTAAGACAGGATCACGGTTACTCCGAGCTCTTATCATATGATCCAACGTACATTGACATACAGTGTGATTATGTTATTAAGTTAATATTGATATAAGTATAAAACACAAACACCATATAATAACCAGTCTCTATTATCCGACGAAGCAGATACCATCGGGCATAAAAGACAATGTAGAGGTGAAAAACTATATGAAGGGAGCTTTAACCACGTTCCCAGTGACCTACTTTATATTCAGCAATCATAAGTACATTCGGTATTTATTCCTTATCTTATCTTGTACAGATAATACCAGGATTGACCGTGTCCATCTGTCACACTTCTGTTCTCAAGTCTGAAGGTAGGTTATGTTATGTTAAGTTACGAATAGTACATAAAATACCACAGACGACTAATTATTTATTAAAAAACCTAACAATGTGTTACACGTAAAACCTCACATCATAATTAACCAGGTTCTCGCCCGAAAAAAAAGCTTTTTAAAAAAGGTTAAAAAGTCTTATAAAGTACATAGTTATACCAAAAGAAGAGTCATATGTGACTTCATTGTTTTCTAAAAAGCAACAAACAACTTTCCTGACCCCACAACCAGTGCGTATGCATATTGAAATCCCAGCTGGAAGCCGAGCTGTAGGTGTGACGTCACAGTGGAGAGACGTCCGCCATTTTGTTTCGTTTACAGCGCAATAATCGCCTTGACAGTGAAGTGATTTTCCATTATTCTCGTCGTTTTGAAGAGCAAAACTGGGTATTATGTGGACATGGGGTCTACTAGTTCATCAAACACAAGCACCAAGTGTTAATTCTTGAAATTTCCAAGCGAAAGGGCCGATTCGGGAGGAGGAAAGTTTGGATAAAGCGATGTCGGCGAGGAGGAAAAAGGAAACCGACTTGACATACCGTTTTGTGTATCTTGCATTTTGAGGCATCTCTCTACAGGATTGATCCTCACAAACTAAACGAACTTGGTTACGAAAATAAATTTAGTTCATTCTTTGTTTGTGTCTCTCTAATATATGATAGTCGATGTTATAATGATTGATGTTTATGAGAACAGGAGTCACTGTGCAAGTAGTAAGCTAAATGCCTGCCACCAAGATCCCTCTCTTGATCAGTGAAGTACATATTATAATTACTGTTTACACGGCAGTATTAACTGGACCAATCACCACGAGACAAGATTATTTTAATACAAAACGTTCATTTGTATAGAAAACAAATTTAGCTTAAATAGCCTGTGCTAATTGTTACGCATAAAGACAACAGAACTAACAATGTGTTGACAATGCTAAGCGTCAGTCTACCACTGGCACATTTTACATAAGAATAGCTGTCTCACGAATTATGCTTTACTGATAAACACCAATTTGAATTTAGAAATGTCAGGATAGCGTTCAACAACAGATCGTGTACCATAGTCTTTCCTCGTTTTCATCACACTGATCGTCTTCACTCGGTAGATCTTCCTCGCTGCTGTCAAGACTATTTTGACCAAACACTGGCTCATATAGATACGTAAGGTCACTGAGCGAAAATTCAATGACCGATGACATTGTCAGGTGAAGCCATGGCGAACGCAGTACTCTAGCAAAATGTACAGAAACAGTGATCGTCTGTAAGTCAACTCCCCACTATAAGTGAGTGAGTTGTGTTTAACGCCGCTTTTAACATTATTCCATTTATATCGCGGCGTGTCAGCTTAATGTGGGAGGAAAGCCCAAAGTGATCAGGTCTCAGACGTATACCACTTCGGTGAAACCCACGAGCACGGGTAAGGTGCTGACAAACCTAGAAACATAATCGGGGCGAACCGGAATTCGAACCAACAATCATAGGTTTCTGGCGTGCCCAAGGGACGCAACTGTGCAGAGCGAATCGCGGCGCCTTAGACGACTGGGCCACCCATGACCCCTTTCCACTATGTCGACACGTCCCGTGATGACATATCTGCTCATTAACTCTCGGTAGTTTCCGGAATACGAGTAGGGTTTAACGTTTTTTGTCACAAATATTGCCTTTTGAAGATTTTCCATCCAGATACTTGTTTTAATATGCGTAATGAATGATTTAATCCCATATTTATAGTTCACTGTAAATCTCCTTTAAAATCAGTCTACAAAATTCATATATATACAAATATACTCTACAAAAAAGAAACGCAAAGGTGTTTTTTAGATGTATATGTCATATATCATATACATAATATAAACAGATGATAATCGATTGTTCAAAATTGGCACACGTCATTGTCTGGGCTTATATCCTACGCAATCCTGGTATTGCCGTTGTTGTAGAGGTGGCTGTGGTGATTCTTTCACGTAAGTGGCGTCGCCGTATGAATCTGTCCTGTGCTCCAGTTGTGATACGTGGGCGACCGGAATCTGGCCACGTGTTGTCCTGTGTGTCTGATAACGGTTCCACAGCCTTGTAATGGTGCTTGGTGCTACGTGGAATAACCTGGCTACAGCTGAGTGGGTGAGTGAGTTCAAATTTAAAGTCACATCGGCAATATTTCAGTTATATCGTGACTTTCAAGGGTTATCATAAACTGACGTCCAAAAGAAACTTTACCAACTGAAAATATAAATTTCAGACAAAGTATTTTTTTTTTTTGATGAAGTCTATCTAAAACACATAACCTAAATAAAACAATAGTGTATGCAGAAAATGTTATTCGTCTGTTACATTGCAACGGCAAGTCAGACATCCACAGTGATAAAAAAAACACAAAAGAAATGCCACGACTCACAGTCGTACAACGTGAACGAGCCTTGGGTATGGTACAGATGGGAGCCACCCACGCCCATATTGCACGAACCTTCGGTTGCTCCCGTGTTGCCGTCACCAACTTGATACAACGTTACAGACAGACAAGGCAGACCGCTGACAGGCCAAGAAGAGGCAGACCCAGGGTGACCACGCCCCATGATGACCGGTACTTGCGTACCTTGCACCTCCGAAATCGCTTCCTGACAGTGACGTCATCGGCGACAAATGCCTTAGGTCACAGGGTTAGTCGACAGACAGTGGCCAGGGGACTCAGGGTTCATGGAATCAGGGCTTTTAGACCATACAGAGGACATGGGCCCGGACTGTACGACGTTGGCAACGACGTGACTGGCAGAGGGTTGTCTTCACTGACGAAAGTCGATTCTGTATGTTTAGGGCTGATGGAAGACAACGTGTTTACCGCCGAAGGGGTGAACGAACGGCGGCGTGTTGCGTGCAGGAGGTCGTACCATATGGTGGAGGGAGTTAATGGTGTGGGGAGGGATCTGTGGACAGGAGAGGACACCGCTGGTCATCGTTGACGGAAACTTGACAGCTCAGCGTTACATGGATAACATTCTTCGTCGAGATGTCCTACCATTTCTCCAACAGCAGCCACGTGGTGTCATTTATCACTATGACAACGCTAGAGCCCATACAGCGAGAATTGTCACTAACTTCCTCGCAGCCAACAACATCAACGTCCTGCCGTGGCCTGCACGCTCACCCGACATGTCCCCCATAGAAACACCTCTGGGACTTGATGGATCGTCGTGTTCGACAACGACCACACTCTCCAGCCAACCGGCAAGAACTGATCTTGGCCCTCCAAGTAGAATGGCGTCAAATCCCACGTGACCTCATCAGATGACTGACTTTTTCTGTGCGTCGAAGAATTTTTGCGTGTATTGAGGCATTTGGTGGTCACAAACGCTACTAATGACTTGTTATTGAACGTGAGCGATTGTTTATTTACTTCGCTATTGTCCATGATTCTGAAAGCTCGAGTTTTGTACCACACCCACCTTTGGGGGGCTCTGACGTCATTCTCGGTCGCGGTATGATTGTCATTTTCAGTGTTGATTATGTTGATATATTGATCTTCTCAATACACTTTACTTCATGCATGTATGATTTGTTGTTATTAAACAAGAGTGCTTCAAACTTTGGTAAAGTTTCTTTTGGACGTCAGTTTATAATAAATTGGCTACAGCTGAAGTGATTCCATTGTTTGAAGTCGGCCGGCGGCATTGTTGCACTCGGCTTCAGTCAGTCGTGGCATGTTTTCGCTGTTCACTTGCGATGTCAAGCAAATGAAAACCCAACGTTTGTAAAGCCCAACAAGTGATGTTGCACGTGCAAGTCATGTTGGTGTGTTTCGGCTCCAGGCTCTCACGTGGTTAGGTTTTTGCGATTTTTCCATCTTTTCACTAAATTTCTACAGTTCCTCATTCTTTCTGCACAAATAAGGCCCAATCCATGCAGAAATGATCAATTCATTTTTTATGTTAATTTGTCTGCCAAATGTTTACGATTTTACTACTTTTGCGTTTCTTCTTTTGCAGAGTACATATCCGTTTCAATTTGATCTGGCAGATGTTAAGGTGCAAGTAGTGCGTTTTGCGTTTTGCGTTTGTTTAGGAGTATGATTATCCAGTGAAATTTGTACTCGAATTTTGTCATTGCCATAATTAATATTATAATACTGATCTGAAAACAACATTTTTAACTTTGAATGTCCAACAAAATACCAAATATCGACTATAACATTATCTATTGTAGGTTTCGGTGAAAGTCATTTGTACACTTTAATTTCATAAATATTGGTTTGTACACAGTGTAGTATGTGTTTTTCGTGTATGTCTAACGCCACACGCAGCAACATTTCAATAGTCTATCGATATGACGGAGAGACCCGCGAAGATCCGGGCTAGAATACATGTAGGTCTTCAGCAACCCATGCTTGTCGTAAGAGGCGACTAACAGGATCGGGTGGTCAGGCTCGCTGAATTGGTTGATCCATGTCATACTATCCCAATTGCGTAGATCGATTCTCATGATATCAATCACTGGATTGTCTAGTCCAGACTCGATAAGTAACAGGCCGCCGTCATTCAGCTGGAAGTGCTGAGTGCGACGTTAAACAACACACACAAACAAACAAACATATAACGGAGACCTGTAAACATTCGAGTCTGGACCAAACAATGCAGTGTTTGATGTTGTGAGTAACTATTCACGACGTCGGCGTACGAAGACACGTCATCAACCAAGACATCGAGCCAGACCAACCGAGTTGCCTCGTACGACCAGCAAAGGTTGTTAAGTACAAATTCTAACCCGGTATCCCACTGGTACAATGTGTCGTACACTAAATAGGACATGGCATAGAACATACTACCGTTCTATGAATACATGGAGTTAATGGAGGACATAGCACAGAATGACCCCTTACTCTGCAATTGACCCTTGTTTACAATCATATTTAACCCAAGATAATCCTTACATTAGTGGGTAGCCTAGTGGTTAAATCGTTCGCTCGTCACGCCGAAGGCCCGGGTTCGCTTCCCAACATGGTTACAATCTGTTAAGCTCATTTCTGGTGTCCCCCGCCGTGATATTGCTGGATATGGTGTTAAACCAGACTCAATAAATCAGTAACATTGAAGACATTTTTTCAGACCACAATGAAGATAGCCTGTTGTCTGGTTGTGTTTGGTTTGGCCGTGGTGAGCGCGGACCTGCTGAGTCTCCTCAAGAGGGTCCACAACTCCAACACATTCGTACACATGCCTCACTATGAACAGCTGCTTCTGGTGGAACTGATGGCGGAGGCTGAGATGGGCCAGCTGACCCAGTACATCCACACCGTGGGCATGAGCAGGATCTCCACGATGATGCAGCGTGAGTAGGGGGGCGGGGGGGCGACCCGGGTACAGCCTGGGTAAGACGTAACGGTGAAGACGCCGGACACGATTGGCTTCTGATTAAATCAGGGGTCCCTAGTCAATACCCCTCCCGGGAACAGCCTGGGTAAGACGTAACGGTGAAGACACCCGATACGCTTGGTTGATTACACCAGGGATCCCTAGTACACCGCCCTTCCCCTGGAACAAGGCTCCATCTGATTAAACCAGCATAAACAGTGAGCACTATTTGCTTATTCGGATTGAACGGAGTCATTTAATGTTCGTAACCGTTTGAAAAAAATGTTAATTTAGCACGTCGTTGATACGATGAATTGGTGTAACTGTTTTAAATGTCCATGTGTATAGTATTTATTACGCTGTACTTTGTCCTCAGATATCCCCCAGCACGAGGCGGACCTTTTGACCCAGTACCTGAAAGAGGTGAGTTCGTCACTTCCTGTGACCACTGTCCTTCACGAAGCCACAACTGCTTCGCATCAATGAATATACCAAACACACAGGTGAGGTGAAGTGAAATGAAGTTTAACGTCGCGTCCAAGAATATTGCACTTAAATAGCGACGTGCATGCACGTGTGTGTGTGTGTGTGTGTGTGGCTGCTTGTACTAGTCCGGACTGATGCCGATTAATAGTGCTAGCCCACTGAGATACCATGCCGAAGTTTAACATGAATACCTCACTATACCTGACTCCGAGCCGACCAGTCCTTGTTTTAGTCCCTTAATGCCTAGCGTCAGACAGGGTAACAACAAGAACCATCTTTTAACGTCTTTTGGTATCACGCGCCCGGGGATCGAACCCCGGACCTTCCGCTCTCCGGGCGGACGCTCTACCACCAGATCACAAAGGTCCCAAACACACAGAACTCCGGATAGCTTCGTGTGATTTACCATAAAACTGTGACACGCCGCGAAATAACTGGAATACTGTTAAATAAAAGTTTTATTTACAATAAAACTATGGGTATTATAAAGGTAGGACATTGGGGAAAAGTGGTGTTTTCTCTGATGCCAAAACATCGAGTAACATGTCGAACGTGGAAATCATGTATGTGTGGCCCCGTGAAGATCCGGGTTAGAATTGATATTCATCAACCCATGCTTGTCGTAAGAGGCGACCATCGGGATCGAGAGGTTAGACTCGTTGACTTTCAGGATGCATGTCTTCGTATCCCAGTTGTGTAGATCGGAGCTCATGTTGTCACTCACTGGATTGTCTGGCCCTGACTTGATTATGTAAGACCGCCGCCAGATACATGTAAACAAGAAACAAACTAACATGTATGTGTGAGTGAATGGGTGGAGTTTAACACAGCTGTGAACAGTATTTCAGTTATATCACGACCTGAAACATGCTGTCGGAGGCAAGCCAGTAGTGATGCAGTTTGTAGCTGTTTACGACTGTGGTGAGGCCAACAGCACGGGCATGGTGCTTACAGACCACTGACCACACCCAGTGAGGATACAGAGGACAACAGATGTAGATGTCGGTTGCAAGTGTACAGTACCTCAATGAGACTGAAGCAATGCCGATGCAATGTTAAAGCTTAAATAACTCACAAGTGTGTACGCCGAACGGCTACAGTCTAACAGCCTATTCTGTTTCGGGGGCACGGTTGGCCCAGTCGTCTACGTCGCCGCGATTCGTTGTGCAGAGTTGCGTCCCTTGGTCACGCCAGAAACCTATGATTGTGGGTTCGAATCCCGGTTTACCCCGATTATGTTTCTAGGTTTGTCATCACCATACCGTGATCGTGGGTTTCACCGAAGTGGTAAACGTCTGAGACCTGCATCACTTGGGTCTTTCCTCCCATACAACTGGAATACTGTTAAAAGCGGCGTTAAACCCAACTCACTCACTCGCTCACTATTCTGTTTCCAGCACATGACGGGGGAAGCTCACCCAGGATCAACACCCTCACAGTGAAACCGGCTTCTCCTACAAAAATAAACATTCTCTTACAAACAATGTGTGTCCGTTTTACTTATTCCCTTCCGTTTGATCGAAATGACCAACTGTTAAAAGTGTGCTCGGAAACCAGGTCACTGCTTTTCACCGATTTGTGTCAATGTCTGATTTCAGCGTCCTCCAGGTCCCCATGGGTCAAGGTGGTGATAATAACTGTTATCATCATGATAATATTTACCTTTGTCAGTCCATTTAAGAACATACTTTATCAATCCTACTCTTGGCCGTACGTACAGACTGCAGACGCAACATACACTTAAACCAAAACTGTAATATTTTCTAAGTACGTTTTTGAACCGACTTTAAATTAATTCCCGTAAGGAGAACTCTTAAACCAGAAGCTGTATCTCCTGGTAAGACTATGTGTATAACATGTCTGGAAGAAACCCTGAAACCAGGAACATCACCACTAGTATCTCCTGGTTAGACTATGTGTATAACATGTCTGGAAGAAACCCTGAAACCAGGAACATCACCACCAGTATCTCCTGGTTAGACTATGTGTATAACATGTCTGGAAAGGAAACCCTGAAACCAGGAACATCACCACTGATATCTCCTGGTTAGACTATGTATAAAACATGTCTGGAAGAAACCCTGAAACCAGGAACGTCACCACCAGTATCTCCTGGTTAGACTATGTGTATAACATGTGTGGAAGGAAACCCTGAAACCAGGAACATCATCACTAGTATCACCTGGTTAGACTATGTGTATAACATGTCTGGAAGGAACCTTGAAACCAGGAACATCACCACTAGATTCTCCTGGTTAGACTATGTGTATAACATGTCTCGAAGGAACCCTGAAACCAGGAACATCACCACCAGTATCTCCTGGTTAGACTATGTGTATAACATGTCTGGTAGAAAACCCTGAAACCAGGAACATCACCACTAGATTCTCCTGTTTAGACTATGTGTATAACATGTCTGGAAGAAAACCCTGAAACCAGGAACATCACCACCACTATCTCCTGGTTAGACTATGTGTATAACATGTCTGGAAGGAAACCCTGAAACCAGGAACATCACCAGTGGTATCTCCTGGTTAGACTATGTGTATTACATGTCTGGAAGGAACCTTGAAACCAGGAACATCACCACTAGATTCTCCTGGTTAGACTATGTGTATAACATGTCTGGAAGGGAAACCCTGAAACCAGGAACATCACCACTGATATCTCCTGGTTAGACTATGTATAAAACATGTCTGGAAGAAACCCTGAAACCAGGAACGTCACCAACAGTATCTCCTGGTTAGACTATGTGTATAACATGTCTGGAAGGAAACCCTGAAACCAGGAACATCATCACTAGTATCACCTGGTTAGACTATGTGTATAACATGTCTGGAAGGAACCTTGAAACCAGCAACATCACCACTAGATTCTCCTGGTTAGACTATGTGTATAACATGTCTCGAAGGAACCCTGAAACCAGGAACATCACCACCAGTATCTCCTGGTTAGACTATGTGTATAACATGTCTGGTAGAAAACCCTGAAACCAGGAACATCACCACTAGATTCTCCTGTTTAGACTATGTGTATAACATGTCTGGAAGAAAACCCTGAAACCAGGAACATCACCACCAGTATCTCCTGGTTAGACTATGTGTATAACATGTCTGGAAGGAAACCCTGAAACCAGGAACATCACCAGTGGTATCTCCTGGTTAGACTATGTGTATTACATGTCTGGAAGGAACCTTGAAACCAGGAACATCACCACTAGATTCTCCTGGTTAGACTATGTGTATAACATGTCTGCAAGGAAACCCTGAAACCAGGAACATCACCACCAGTATCTCCTGGTTAGACTATGTGTATAACATGTCTGGAAGAAACCCTGAAACCAGGAACATCACCACCAGTATCTCCTGGTTAGACTATGTGTATAACATGTCTTGAAGGAAACCCTGAAACCAGGAACATCACCACTAGTATCTCCTGGTTAGATTATGTGTATAACATATCTTGAAGGAAACCCTGAAACCAGGAACATCACCACTAGTATCTCCTGGTTAGACTATGTGTATAACATGTCTGGAAGGAAACCCTGAAACCAGGAACATCACCACTAGATTCTCCTGGTTAGACTATGTGTATAACATGTCTTGAAGGAAACCCTGAAACCAGGAACATCACCACCAGTATCTCCTGGTTAGACTATGTGTATAACATGTCTGGAAGAAACCCTGAAACCAGGAACATCACCACCAGTATCTCCTGGTTAGACTATGTGTATAACATGTCTTGAAGGAAACCCTGAAACCAGGAACATCACCACTAGTATCTCCTGGTTAGATTATGTGTATAACATATCTTGAAGGAAACCCTGAAACCAGGAACATCACCACTAGTATCTCCTGGTTAGACTATGTGTATAACATGTCTGGAAGGAAACCCTGAAACCAGGAACATCACCACTGATATCTCCTGGTTAGACTATGTGTATAACATGTCTGGAAGGAAACCCTGAAACCAGGAACATCACCACCAGTATCTCCTGGTTAGACTATGTGTATAACATGTGTGGAAGGAAACCCTGAAACCAGGAACATCACCACTAGATTCTCCTGGTTAGACTATGTGTATAACATGTCTTGAAGGAAACCCTGAAACCAGGAACATCACCACCAGTATCTCCTGGTTAGACTATGTGTATAACATGTCTGGAAGAAACCCTGAAACCAGGAACATCACCACCAGTATCTCCTGGTTAGACTATGTAAATAACATGTGTGGAAGGAAACCCTGAAACCAGGAACATCACCACTAGTATCTCCTGGTTAGACTATGTGTATAACATTTCTTGAAGGAAACCCTGAAACCAGGAACATCACCACCAGTATCTCCTGGTTAGACTATGTGTATAACATGTCTGGAAGGAAACCCTGAAACCAGGAACATCACCACCAGTATCTCCTGGTTAGACTATGTGTATAACATGTCTGGAAGGAAACCCTGAAACCAGGAACATCACCACTAGATTCTCCTGGTTAGACTATGTGTATAACATGTCTTGAAGGAAACCCTGAAACCAGGAACATCACCACCAGTATCTCCTGGTTAGACTATGTGTATAACATGTCTTGAAGAAACCCTGAAACCAGGAACATCACCACCAGTATCTCCTGGTTAGACTATGTGTATAACATGTCTGGAAAGAAACCCTGAAACCAGGAACATCACCTCCAGTATCTCCTGGTTAGACTATGTGTATAACATATCTTGAAGGAAACCCTGAAACAAGGAACATCACCACCAGTATCTCCTGGTTAGACTATGTGTATAACATGTCTGGAAGGAAACCCTGAAACCAGGAACATCACCACCAGTATCTCCTGGTTAGACTATGTGTATAACATGTCTGGAAAAAAACCCTGAAACCAGGAACATCACCACCAGTATCTCCTGGTTAGACTATGTGTATAACATGTCTTGAAGGAAACCCTGAAACCAGGAACATCACCACTAGTATCTCCTGGTTAGATTATGTGTATAACATATCTTGAAGGAAACCCTGAAACCAGGAACATCACCACCAGTATCTCCTGGTTAGACTATGTGTATAACATGTCTGGAAGGAAACCCTGAAACCAGGAACATCACCACTGATATCTCCTGGTTAGACTATGTGTATAACATGTCTGGAAGGAAACCCTGAAACCAGGAACATCACCACCAGTATCTCCTGGTTAGACTATGTGTATAACATGTGTGGAAGGAAACCCTGAAACCAGGAACATCACCACCAGTATCTCCTGGTTAGACTATGTGTATAACATGTCTGGAAGAAACCCTGAAACCAGGAACATCACCACCAGTATCTCCTGGTTAGACTATGTAAATAACATGTGTGGAAGGAAACCCTGAAACCAGGAACATCACCACTAGTATCTCCTGGTTAGACTATGTGTATAACATTTCTTGAAGGAAACCCTGAAACCAGGAACATCACCACCAGTATCTCCTGGTTAGACTATGTGTATAACATGTCTGGAAGGAAACCCTGAAACCAGGAACATCACCACCAGTATCTCCTGGTTAGACTATGTGTATAACATGTCTGGAAGGAAACCCTGAAACCAGGAACATCACCACTAGATTCTCCTGGTTAGACTATGTGTATAACATGTCTTGAAGGAAACCCTGAAACCAGGAACATCACCACAAGTATCTCCTGGTTAGACTATGTGTATAACATGTCTGGAAGAAACCCTGAAACCAGGAACATCACCACCAGTATCTCCTGGTTAGACTATGTGTATAACATGTCTGGAAGGAAACCCTGAAACCAGGAACATCACCACCAGTATCTCCTGGTTAGACTATGTGTATAACATGTGTTGAAGGAAACCCTGAAACCAGGAACATCACCACCAGTATCTCCTGGTTAGATTATGTGTATAACATGTCTTCAAGGAAACCTTCAAACCAGGAACATCACCACCAGTATCTCCTGGTTAGACTATGTGTATAACATGTCTGGAAGGAAACCCTGAAACCAGGAACATCACGACCAGTATCTCCTGGTTAGACTATGTGTATAACATGTCTCGAAGAAACCCTGAAACCAGGAACATCACCACCAGTATCTCCTGGTTAGACTATGTGTATAACATGTCTGGAAAAAAACCCTGAAACCAGGAACATCACCACCAGTATCTCCTGGTTAGACTATGTGTATAACATGTGTGGAAGGAAACCCTGAAACCAGGAACATCACCACCAGTATCTCCTGGTTAGATTATGTGTATAACATATCTTGAAGGAAACCCTGAAACCAGGAACATCACCACTAGTATCTCCTGGTTAGACTATGTGTATAACATGTCTGGAAGGAAACCCTGAAACCAGGAACATCACCACCAGTATCTCCTGGTTAGACTATGTGTATAACATGTCTGCAAAAAAAACCTGAAACCAGGAACATCACCACCAGTATCTCCTGGTTAGACTATGTGTATAACATGTGTGGAAGGAAACCCTGAAA